TTCAGATTCTGGGCGACTTGCAAACTTGGACGATGGCGTTACAGCATTCTTGGGCCCCCTTATTTGGGCCTTCACCTTGATTTGTTTGATTGGACTTCGTTCTTTGGGCTATCTGATTTGGGGATCCTCCAATTGGGCTTTACTCATTGGGCCGTTCGATTTGGGCTGAATTTTTATGTGTCAACAGTATGTGTGGGATTGTTTCAATTTTTTCATGAGTGTATAAGTTTACTATCTAGGATCAATGTAATTGAGCTAATGCCAATCTTCTAGGTTCGATAGTTTAATAGCCCACTTGTGAAGGTGGGCTAGCTTGATAGGAGAAAAGAGGAAATTATACAAAACCAGAATTTTTAAGTTTCAATTTCAAAAACCAGATTTAAACTTTGTTTTTACATTAATTAGATGATAATTCTATATTTTAATTTAATAATAATAATAATAATAATAATAATATAAAATTAAAATTAATCTATACCAATTTTTTCAAACCCTAAAATTTACTTTTCATTCTCACTCTAAGTCTCCTCGTTCTCTCACCACTCCATTTTCTTTCTACTGTGCCATCACTGGAGCATCACCGATGCTAGGCTCCTGACGCCTCTGGCTAGTCAACATAGTCGATCTGCAGTCATCAAAGGGGAAGAAAGACTGTGGCTGTTCGCACCTTGCCTCTATTCGCAAGAGGTGGCATTGTCGCTATTCAAGGCACACGACGTACCTCATCAGTTTTGTAGCTCAGAGCACCACTTTGTGGCTCAAAGTGCCGCTGTGTGCGACGGAGATTGATTGTGTGGTTTGTGGCGTTTCTTTTTCTGATGAGTTTGTGGCGATGCTGCAATTGATGGTTTTGAGGTTGGTGTGTAGTGGATCGGCGGTGGTGATTACAGTGGTGGTGTGATTTACAGTGGTAGTGATTTTTTGATAAGTGGTGGTGTGGATCGAAGGTTGTGTGATTACAGTGGTGGTGATTTTTTTGATCGGTGGTGGTGTGAGTACAACAGTGGTGATTTTGCGTTTATGTGGTGGTTACTGTTGAGGTGGTTTTGCACAATCTGGTGAGACGACGGTAGTTGTGGTGGGTGGTGGTCGAGGTAGATGGGATGGGACGGGGGGTTTTTTTTTTTTTTTTTACCAATAAATTGGTTAATTTGTGTCTAATAAATAGTATGTGACCTAAAAAATGTAATTGTGACTTATAATTTATTAAGTTGTGACTGTAAAATTAATTGTGATTAATTATTTTGATAATTTGTGATTGAGAAATGAGTTGTGACCAATAAAATTTTTGATTTTGTGACCAATCAATGAATCGTGACCTATAAAATTTTTGATTTGTGGTCGACAAATGAGTTGTGACTAATAAAAATTTTGATTTTGTGACCGATTAATGAATTGTGGCTCATGAAATTTTTGATTTGTTATCAACAAAAATTTTGTGACCTATAAAATTTTTGATTTGTGGCTTAGAAATAATTTGTAACTAATTAATTTGATAAGCTGTGATCAAATTATATATATTTGTGACTTTAATATGTTTAATTAATAAAATATTTTTTTAATCAATTATTTGATAAATAAATTTTAATAATATTTGAATTTTGAAATTTTAAACTTATTTTCTTAGTTTTGAAATAAACTATAGATAAACTCTTATAAATGAATTTTTCCCAGGAGAAAAAGCCTATAAGATATTGGGCCTATCAAATTGATATAAATAACACCAAGTGCGCTGATAAAAACTTGTATAAAAAAGTAATTACAACGAACAAACCATGATTAGAAAAAAAGGAGAAAAACCATAATGGTGTTTGTATTAAATCCAACATTGAATTGAGATGAAAATATATAAGACTTTGATAATATATAAGGATTTAAATTACTCCTCCCAATAATGTCGATATTCTAGCACGGGACTTTTAGTCTCAACGAACAACTCAACATGGTTAAGACTCAATATAAACACACAAATTTTAAAATAAATTTGCTCAAACGAGCGATCATCTTGTAAGGGTATGCTAAGAGAGAATTCTACGTCAGATAAGGATGATATGAAATGTATGTCAACATAAAAATTTTAAACTATTCCTTTCAACAAAATTAACTTTTTAAGATGAAACCTTAAATTTTAATATCTTGCTCTACTTTTTTACCAATATTTTTTCTTTTGTAACCCAAGACCTACAAAGAGTGATTGCTAGTCCATGTAAGCTTTTTACGCTCTGATTTCCAAAAGAGCAGCACTTGTCATATTTACTCTTAAGACCCAAAAATGCAAAAGGCCACTTTTTTTCTTTTTCAAAAAGGATATATTTTTCTATTCCGAGTTTATATTATAGGTCAATTTCCCTTAGGGTACGTTTGATTGCAAGTAGGAAAATTGCATGGAAAGAAAATATTTTCTAGGTAATTCAATTGCCTGGAAATTATTTACAATGAAATTGTTAATTACACGTGATTGATTGACTTAAATTTCAACCTAGAAAATGTTCCAATTTTCCATCTTTTGGTGTTTGATAACCATTATTTTCCATGGAAATAGTCATTTTTTCCAACTTTAGTTGTTTGACAACCACTATTTTCCATGGAAATTGTCACTTTTTGCATGGAAAATTGTAATTTTTTCCATGACGATTAGTCAATCAATGTTTTACTTAGGTCCCTTCACAATTAAATATATTGAGTAATATCTCTTATTATGTGTGTGTGTGTGTGTGTTTTGTTTTTTTTTTTTTTTTTTGGTTTTTGAAGAAGTCTTATTTTGAAGATAATGTTATCGAAAAAAGTAAAATTTATAAATTTATAAAAAACAAACTCACCAATTCAAATTTATACTCATGTATGAGAATTAATTCTTTTCATTCCAATAAAAAATAGTTATGAGATAATCAAATAAACAATGACAACCTTATTTCCAACATAGAATAGAAGAGCAAAAAGTAAAATTAAAAAACAAAAAAATCTCTATTAAAAGTGAGTAGCAATCCAAACTAACATGGATATCATATTTTTACATATGTTTGTTGAATTATCCAATCATGCCATCTTAAAGTAGTGGAGGCGGATCACGACCAATATTCTCAAAGATCAAATCACGCATGAATTCTATATCAATCAAGCTCATAAATACTTTAGCCAGACTCTCGTCCGATCGAAATACTTTCATGACTTGCATTATGATATATTATTTATTTATTTATTTATTATTATTTTTTTTACGATCGTTAACATACCAGGAATAGGAGACAAATTATCATTGCCGGTTACAGAGTGATCTCCCGTAGCAGAGTCATTTCCAAAGATAGCCTCCATATCATCATAATGAGGACAAAGCTTGGTCCTCCACTTTCCGAATTCTGGTTTCCCCTACAAAGGAAAAAAGATTGGAATATATGCTACGCGTAATCAATGTTCAAAAGATATTATACTACTAATATTTAATGCCTAATAAATTGGTTGATGAAATATTGTACCTTCAAAAACTCTTCCCAAGCTATAACATCAGCTGTGACACGTCCAGTGTCAGGATCTAACCCAAAACCACTTATAATCAACAATTGGCGAACTTCGAGAAATTCTTTTTTTAGAGTCTTCAATCACGCCCTTACTTTCTTATCCGAGACCATGACTCCACATCCGTTATACACGCTATCAATTGCTTTGGAAACATGATATGATGAAAACCCATTGTCACTCCTTTTGTGACCAACCAACACTTGCTGTAGTAATGCAGTTATCATACAATCATTCATTGCATCACTCCAAAGCACATGACGATTCCTAGCATTGGGATCCATTTGGGTTGAGCTTATTTCCTCCACATCTGAATGGATGGTTGGTCTAGGCACTCGAAACGGTGTTGTAGAGCTTTGTCGATTATGTGCCATGAAATCTGTATACCAAGATTAAAAGTTTATGATTGACCATTAAATAAAAACATGTAAAAATAATGTACGTCAACAATTTGAAACGAATAATATCAAATCTAATTACAACATTTAAAATTCTAGAGACCTTATGTCAACAATTACATAAGGACGTGGGAAAAAAAAACCTGTATAATATCAATATGTCTTTATTCTAAGTAATAGCTAAAAATGAAAGTGTGTCAGGTTTAAGTCCATCACACAACAACATAAATAAAATATCATATTTCAATCGAAATCGACTCCTGCATCTTGATTGGGACGATAATCAGCCCACATTAACTCAGCAATTGTATTCCTCTTATTAGACCATGCTTCTTGAGATGTAAAAGATATGTGAGCATTTGGAGTTTCATCCTCAGGTACATCAACGTGTGTAGGGTTAACCTCATCATCGCTACTAACGAAGTCCTCCTCACAAACATCTTCTATGTCATCAATCCTTAAGAAGTTGTGATGGCAGAACAAGCAAGAACTATTTTTGCTTGTGTGTCAATGTTGTGGTAGGGTTGATGTCTCAAATATGCAAATCTTTTTTTAAGCAAACCAATTGTCCTCTCAATGACATTACGAAGAGATGAATGTCGAAAATTGAATAACTCCTTACTACTTTCAGGATGTTGGCCCTCAATGTCTCTACGATGATAACGAGTCCCACGGTATGATGCAAGAAATCCCGAAACCAATGGAAAATCGGCGTCGACAAGATAATATTTACTTGTTACAGTTGTTATTACATTATAACTTGTACGTGAAAGATTTTTTTTTTCGAAATAGTAATACAACTTACCAAAAGGAATTGTCAGCTTATGCCCTTAACGTAATATTGCACTCCTTAACAATCGACCATTATGTGTTGATCCCTCCCAACCGGCAATCGACCATCATGTGCTGAAATAGACATTAAGCATGTCCAAGGATTAGCCCTAATGAGATCCTGGACGAAAAATTATCATGAGATCCATACACATCATTTTTCTTTACAAGTGTATTAGTATTAAACTTAGTCGAATCAGACAATTTTTCATGATGAGAAACATTATACACATGGTACTCACTCACCATTTGATTAGTCCAAGAATCAATTTTCATGTTGAAAAAGGAAAAATCATGTTTACCATTAAATAACAAATATCTAATTGTAACTAAGTAGTCTTCTTGAAATTCCTTAATTAGACTTGAAATGTTCCATAAATCAAGCTAATTTATGCTATTATCCTTTATTAAATTATCCATTTTGCCTTAAAAACTAAATGTACTTTCAGAATAAAAAACGGTGGATAGTAAAAATGAAATTAGAATTTATAGTTAGTACCAAATGTAATTTGCATTTTTCATAGGGGATAATCGTTTTGGGCTTTCATAAAATTTTTGAGGCCCCCTTGTACCTTGAGTGGTCTTGGGCCAAAACAGAGCCTGGCATGTCCTTGTTGTTGAAATAAGACTGTAACATAGTAACTCAGGTAAAATGCTAAAAATATCTTGTAACCTCTCCAATCTAAATTTAGGTCAGTCCACTTTGCGAAAAGCTAATCATTTCGATGAAAAAGGAAAGTGAAGTTAGTGATTTGTGGAATCATGTTCTTCTCCTTTAAATCTAGCTGATTTTGAGCATTCTAAGCACATCCAACGTCTCTTATGGCTTTAATGGAGTGGAATTACATAACATGGCCCTCCACTTGTTTGTGCAGGATATGATGAACCTCTTTTTAACTTTTACCTTCTTTCACATGACTTTGCACCTTCTCGAATTCGAATAACAATAAAAAATTTCGTTGGATAAAATTCATGGATTCAATCGCTCAAATAATGCTGATCTAATATCTTAATACTCTTACTGAACAACAATTAATTTTTAAATAAAACGGTTGAAAATCGATCCCAACAATTTACATCATTAAAGAAAAGTTAAATCTTATATAAGCGTTAACTATATACTAAATTTTTTATGCAATGTGTATGCCTTTCTCCAAGCAAGAAATGTACTCCCTTGAAATCAGGAATAAAGCATTGCTCAAAGACCCCAAGAATCTAATTGAGTGCACAATTCATGTGGGAGACTAGAGAGATTAGATAAAGAAAATGTTGTGCTAAACATGGAGAAAAAAACAAAAAAACATGATGATTCATAATGCCCCACTTCTTTGTTGAGAGGAATGGAAGTAGGGTGCAAGTAAATGCTAAAAGTCCTTCCTAAGAGTTTTGCAGGTTAAAGTTGTGTCCTTTTTCGACTGCTCGAGTCCAATTTATTTGAATCTCTTAAATATTCTAATTAGAGAGAATACTGATCCAAAAAATACATTTTTTCTCCTTAAAAATGAGTTTAGGAGTTAGGACTCACACAAAGTGGTGGTTCAAAAACCACTTAAAAAACTAATTATATTTTTGTTATGGGAGATTTAGAGAAAATGATGAGGCAAAAGATAGACATGAAAGAAGGAAAAGCACATGCCCTTGAGCCATGCTCAAGTGTTTGCAATATATGTCAAGAAGTCCAAGTCGAGTACAAGATAGAAACATCTTTGATAAATTTCAAGATATCGCTCTACTACTTTTTGAGAAGAGCACTAACTAATGCTAAAAAATTTAATATACACTGGTAAGCATCATCTAATTTGGTCTCCCATTCTTAAATTTTAATTTATGTTTGACTCGTGTTTATAAATAATTATAAATACCTAAATCACTTTTCATTCACACATAACACATATTGAAAGAACAAAAAATAAACTCATTTATTTATTACTTATTTCTATCTATTTATAATTTAAAACGTTTACTAATGATTTCCAAACATACTTAACCCTTGTTTGAGCCCCATTTTTGGGAAAAAAAATACATTTTTGAATAGTATATTGACGGAAAATGTGTAATTAAAAAATAAGAAAAATTTCTAATTTACGTGTAATATTATTCTATTAAAAAATATGTAGTTGAAATAAAATCAAAATATTGTTTAAAATTGTATTTTTTTTCCTCCAAAGAATGAAACTCAAACAAGGGCTTAATTCTATCGTTCGACGGTGAAATCCGACCAAAAAATCCTACTCAAATGATCAACCTCTCTATTCTATCATATGATATCATAGAAAAAGTTCCCACTAAACCAAAAAAAGGGTATCCCTAGGTCAAAGCGATGCAGTTAATTATGCTGACCACGCCGCAGGTGCCTTTTCTTTCACATGTACCTTCATTCGATGCAGCACCCCGGCAATACCCCGCAGGTATACACAATAGTTTTTATCTAGAAAATTTGTCCTTTGCTTTTGCCCATGTTTAGCACATATTTTCTCTCAAGCACATTTTAAATAGAATTTTGCAATACGTACATAAAAGTGGTATATAAGTAGCTACTGGAAATGATATGGAGGGAAATGATTGGATGAACGAGTTGACTGTATTTTAAACTGACAAATGATAGACTGCCATATAATAATTATGTAATCACATATGTAAATTTTGATATACATTTAATAAAATGCTTTTGAATAATATACTTTCTTTCAATAAAATAAATTTGTATGTGAACTCATAACTTTTCTACTTTTAAACCTACATTCTTCAACTCACTTTTCACAAAATACTCCCTTTATACGTGGCTCAAAATTTTATATAATTTTTCAAGACAATTTAATCCTCAACATTCTATAAAGTATGTGTTGGAAAAATGAGTGAATTGGCTCACTTTTGGCACAATTTTCGATGGGACCGTTGGTCCAATTTAAAATATCAAAGTTGATATGTGTTTTTCTCCGTGAGAATATTGAAGTCATGTATTTATTTACCAAAAATGAAGCTCGGGTGAATGAGAAATTGGAGTCTAAAGTGGACCATTGGAAATGGTCTATGTTGGTGGGAAAACTTTGTCCTACATAGGAAAAACATGGAAACCAAAACCACTTTATATATGGCTATGTATTGGAATGGTGTGATCATGTGTAGCATAGAGGCTCTCTCCACGTGCGTGCACAGGGAGTGCAAATCACGGATAGAAATAGCCTTCGGACCATGAACTTGGGTGCGGGCGCGACCTGCGCACACGAATGTCGGACCGAACGGAGCAAAAACTGGCCAGTTTGGATTGTCCGCGTTTGGCAATTTTTTTTTGTGATTTTCCAAATGACTTTTGAGTGTCTGAAACTCCTAAAACTCCAATGGTCAAAACTGAAATGTAACTCCAAAAACTGCAATGGTTAATGCAGAAAACTAATGGTCAGATTCAGTTTATATAATTCACTCAAATTTCAGCAGTTCATACACTGAAAAATTTTCATCTGCAATTTCCAGCCTGCTTTCTGTTTTGTTCCGTCTCATTCCAGTAAAGTGATATTGTTCGAACACTCGCCCAGTTTGCCGGAGTAGAATCACATTGCTCAGATTCTGTTGGTTATCGTTGTATCCTGAGAGACAGGCGCTCGAACTAAACCTCTAACACCACTGTGAGGGGACGAATTTGTTTTAAGGAAATCGTGTTTACACAGGCCTCGGGTTGAAATTATATCTGTTATTTATTTAGTTTACAATTTTGCAAATTTATTTATTTAATTTGCAACGTACTTGAAATTTCTGTTAGAAATAGATAAATAAAATAAACTTTTTTTTTTAATTCGTTATATGTGTGAAAAAATTGATTTCACATATAGACTATTTTCTATTTGTAAGTTAAAAAACTTGGTGTTATTTTAGTTAGTGTATGAATAAAATACTTTATGCAAATTTTTGTACAAATACGGTGAGTTTCACTTGCAAATATAGTAAGCTGCCATATACGGTGAGTTACACTGCCAAATACAGTGAGTTCTATTGTCAAATACGGTGAGTTGACTGCCATATACGATAAGCAATTGTCAAATACGGTAAGTGTGAATCGGGTGTCTAAAACACAAATACGGTATATGAGAACCCGATTCCACTTCATACACTACCGATTAAATATAACAACAAACTTGAGACAAAACTCCTTAATACGTATTGGTAGTAAACAAGTTTATTTGTTTATTGGAGACTAATAACTGTTTCATTTTAGAAATGCTGTCGAACCAACCAACATGGATGTGACCCAAACTATTCCTGCTGAAAATGAAGTTGTGGGCTCTACTATGGCTCAAGGGCCAAGCTCTGCTGTGATTAACTTGCCTAGTCGTGTTGTGAGTCAAACTGTGGCTCTAGCAACTGGCCAAACGGTTACTATTTCGGTTAATCATGGAGAGAAATCGGAGAAATTCAATGGCTTGAATTTCAAGAGGTGGTAGCAGAAAATGTTGTTTTACCTGACCACCTTGAATCTTGCGAGATTCTTGACTGAGACTGCTCTTATACTCAAAGAAAGAGAAGGAGATATTCAAGCAGTCAGTACACTTGATGCTTGGAAGCATTCGGACTTTTTATGCTGAAACTACATTATGAATAGTTTAGCAGACATACTATATAATGTGTATAGCACGATGAAAACTGTTAAGGAGTTGTGGGAGTCTTTAGACCGAAATTACAAAACTAAGGATGTCGAGGCTAAAAAGTTTATAGTCGACAGATTCGTAGACTATAAGATGGTGGACTCCAAAACTGTTATTAGTCAATTGCAAGAATTTCAAGTGATTCTTCACGAAATTCATGCCAAGGAATGGTGTTGAGTGAAACCTTTCAAGTGGCAGCAATTATTGAAAAATTGCCCACCGCATGGAAAGATTTCAAAAATTATTTGAAATACAAACGAAAGGAAATGAACGTTGAAGAACTTATTGTTAGACTTCGAATTGAAGAAGACAACAAAAGTTCAGAAAGAAGTGGTTCAATCCTGGTGTTACTAAAGCTAATGTTGTAGAGCATGGTCAAAGCAGTAAGAGTTCCAAAAACAAGTTTGGCCCATCCAATGGAAAAAATACCAAGCACGGATTGAAAGGTAGAATTTCTAAGAAAAAATTTCAAAAGAAATGCTTCAATTGTGACAAAGTGGGCCACAAGTCTTCGGAGTGCAGATTGTCAAAGAAGAAGAAAGAAGCAAATGTTGTTGATTACATGGCACAAGATGTGTCGGAGTTGAATCTCTCAACCGTCGTTTTTGAATTGAATATGGTGGGTTCAAACTCTAAAGAGTGATGGATTGACACTGGTGCTACGAGGCATGTGTGCTCTGATAAGGAGCTGTTTACTGCGTTCGAAGCAATTGAAAATGGAGAGAAGTTGTTTATGAGAAATTTAGCAACTTCTGAAATCAAAGGTCAAGGAAAGGTGGTTCTGAAGATGACCTCGGGAAAAGAGCCGACTCTCAACAATGTGCTATATGTGCCAAAAATTCGTACGAATTTAGTGTCCGGGTCTCTTTTGAATAAGTATGATTTTCGCATTGTATTTGAGTAAGAAAAATCATTCCATCAAAAAGTGGAATGTTTGTCAAAAAATGTTATATTTCCGACGGTATGTTTAAACTGAATGTAATGGTTGTGAAACCAAAAATGAATAAAGCAAATTTTTTTGCTTATTTGCTTGAATCTTCCAGTTTGTGGCATGGTAGACTAGGAAATGTTAACTATGATACTTTACGTAGACTAGTTAACTCGAATAACATACCCAAATTCCATAATGATTTCGAATATAAGTGTGAAACTTGTGTTAAGACAAAATTGACAAGGTCATCCTTTAAGTCAGTTGAATGGAGCACAGAACCAATTGATTTAATTCACAGTGATATTTGTGACTTAAAACTTGTACAAACAAGAGGTAGCAACAAGTATTTTATTACTTTTATCGACGATGACACAAAATACTGTTATGTGTATATGCTTAAAAGCAAGGATGAAGTTATAGAGAAATTTGTTCTCTATAAGAATGAAGTTGAAACTCAACTTAATAAGAAAATTAAGGTACCACGGAGTGATCGAGGTGGTGAGTATGGAGCACCGTTTATCGATTTCTGTGTATAACACGGAATCATATATGAAACCACCGCACCTTATTCACCGCAACAAAACGGTGTAGCTGAACCAAAAAATCGTACCTGAAAAGAAATTATGAATGCAATGCTAGTAAATTTTGGGTTACTTCAGAATATGTGGGGGAAGCTGTGTTATCAGCAAATTACCTTTTAAATAAGGTGCTCTGAAATAAATCGGAAAAGACCCCTTATGAGTTATGGAAAGGAAGAAAGTCTACCTATAAACACTTGCTAGTGTGGCTGTTCTAACACCAAAGAAGGTAAGGATAGATCCAAAAACTATAGACTGCTTCTTCATTGGCTATGCACGTATAGCAGTGCTTATTGATTTCTTGTGTATGATTCATAAATTCCAGACATACACAAAAACGTGATAATGGAATCGAGGAATGCTTCATTCTTTGAAGAAGTATTTCCATACAAGTTCAAAGAGGAAGCCAACTCCTCTAAACGAACATATGAGACAATGACTGAAAATAGTCAGGACGAAGAATTAGAAGAAGAAACTGAGGTTAGACGCAGCAAACGGGAAATGACAGAAAGTCTTATGGTCTTGATTTTCTGACCTATATGTTAGAAAGCGAACCTCAATGGAAAGATGCCATTAAAGGTGAAATAGATTCCATACTGCAAAATCATACATGGGAGCTAGTGGATATTCCTCCTGAATGCAAACCACTAGGCTACAAATGAATTTTCAAAAGGAAAATGAAAGCAGATGGAATTATCGAATAGTACAAGGTCAGATTAGTAATAAAAGGTCACAAATAAAGGGAAGGCCTTGATTACTTTGATACGTATTCTCCAGTGACGAGAATAACATCTATTAGGGTGATACTTGCGATTGTTGCTTTGCGAAATCTAGAAGTACATCAAATGAATGTTAAAACGACTTTTCTAAATAGAGATTTAGAAGAAGAAATTTACATGGAACAACCCGAGGGAAATTTAGATGGAACAATCCGAGGGGTTTTCGTTACCAGGACAGGAAAAGAAAGTCTGTAAACTAGTGAAATCACTATATGGTTTGAAACAAGCACCAAAACAATGACGTGAAAAATTTGACAATGTAATGATAGAGAGTGGATTTAAAATTAATGAATGTGACAAATGTGTTTACGTCAAAGATACTAAAGATGGCTATGTCATTTTATGTCTTTACGTTGATGACATGCTTATTGTTGGTAGAAACAATAAGATGATTGAATCCACTAAAAATATATTAAATTCGAGATTTGATATGAAAGACATGAGTTTAGCTGATATTATACTTGGAGTCAAAATCTCAAGAACATCATATGGGCTTGTTCTAAGCCAGTCACAATATGTAGACAAAATTTTGAAAAAAATTCAACAATGATGATACTGGCTTGGCTAGAACACCGATAGATACGAGTTAACATCATTCTAAAAACAAAGGTGAAAGTGTCTCTCAAGTAGAATACTCGAGAGTTATTGGAAGTTTAATGTACTTAATGAGTTGTACAAGACCAGACATAGCCTACACAGTCAGTAAATTGAGTAGATATACGAGTAATTCAGGAAATGATCACTGGAAAGGTATAGTAAGAGTACTGATGTACTTAAGATATACTCGTGACTATGAAATACACTACTGCAGACATCTAGCGATCATTGAAAGATACAGTGATGCTAATTGGATATCTAATATAAAAGACTCAAAGTCCACCGGTGGATATGTGTTCACTTTGGAAGGTGCTGTCATCTCATGGAAATCCTCTAAGCAAACGGTTATAGCCAGATCTACGATGAAATTTAAGTTTATAGTCCTACAGAAATGTGGTGAAGAGGTTGAATGGTTGCGCAACTTCTTAGAGGATATTCCAAGATGGTCCAAATGTGTGCCTGCAATTTGCATATATTGTGACAGTCAATCAGCAATAGGAAGGGCACAGAGTAACATGTACAATGGTAAATCTAGACATATACGTCGTAGACACAATACCATTAGACAACTACTCTCAACTGGAGTTATCACAATTGATTATGTTAAGTCAAAGGATAACATTGCGAATCCGCTAACCAAAGGGTTAAATAGAATGTTAGTTGGGTAATCATTGAAAGGAATGAGACTCAAGCCCTTGAAAGAATAAGTCATTACAAAGGAAATCCAACCTAGTTGACTGGAGATCCCAAGATCTAGGTTCAAAGGGACAATCTAACTGTAAAGACTTGATAAAATTAATGTGTGGGCATCACCTCCTATCCATTCCTATGATATTACAGTGATGCCCGTAAAGATGAAGGTTAAGCAATAGGCTTTTAATGATTCTTATGCGTCGAAAATCGATCCAAGTAATCGGGTTACTTGTAATAAGAAATCACCTATGTGAGAAAGAAGTGGGGCCACTTCTAAAAGAATTGTGTAGAGCTCAGTTCTTAGAAACTCTCACAGAACTAGGTATATGTTCATGGCCAAAACGAACATAATAAGGAGAACTGAAGGGTGTTAGGAAGAATCCTGTATGAAGTATATCATCGTTTACACAAACGACAAAACAGTTCAAAGACATCGCGTCTACTGGTAAGTCAGTAAAGTAAATATGCTTTCACAAAGGAAGGTTCAAAGGGTAACACCTACCTATCCTATGCAGGCTTCAACCGTTGAACTTTATCACCAAGTCTTATGTCTCACGTTTCGTGTCTCTCTCAATTTTCATTCATGTGAGGGATTGTTGGAAAAATGAGTGAATTGACTCACTTTTGGCACAATTTTCGGTGGGACCCGTTGGTCGAATTTGAAATATCAAAGTTGATATGTGTTCTCCTTCGCGAGAACATCGAAATCATGTATTTATTTACCAAAAATGAAGTTCGGGTGAATGAGAAATTGGAGTCTAAATTGGACAATTGGAAATGGTCTATGTTGGTGAGAAAACTTTGTCCCACATAGGAAAAATATGGAAACCAAAACCATTTTATATATGGCTATGCATTGGAATGGTGTGATCATGTGTAGTGTAGAGGCTCTTTCCACATGCGCGCGCGTGGGGAGGGGGGTGCAAATCACGGACAAGAATAGTTTTCGGACCTTGAACTTGGGTGCGGGTACGACCTGCGCACATGAATGCAGGATGAATGGAGCAAAAACTGTCCAGTTTGGATTGTCTGCATTTTGCAATTTTTTTTGTGGTTTTCCAAATGACTTTTGAGTGTTTGAAACTCCTAAAACTCTAATGGTCGAAACCGAAATGTAACTCCAAAAACTGCAATGGTTAATGTAGAAAACTAATGGTCAGATTCAGTCTATAATTCACTCAATTTCTAGCAGTTCATACACTGAAAAATTTTCTTCTGCAATTTCCAGCCTGTTTTCTGTTTTGTTCCGTCTCATTCCAGTAAAGTGATATTGTTCGAGTACTCGCCCAGTTCGCCGGAGTAGAATCGCGGTGCTCGGATTCTGTTGGTTACCGTTGTATCCTGGGAGACAGACGCTCGAACTAAACATCTAGCACCACGGTGAGGGAGTGAATTTGTCTTAAGGAAACTGTGTTTACGTAGGCCTTGGGTTGAAATTATATATGCTATTTATTCAGTTTACAATTTTACAAATTTATTTATTTAATTTGCAACGTACTTGAAATTTCTGTTAGAAATAGATAAATAAAATAAACTGTTTTTTTTAAAATTCGTTATATGTGTGAAAAATTGATTTCACATATAGGGTATTTCTATTTGTAAGTAAAAAAATTTAGTATTATTTTAGTTAGTGTATGAATAAAACACTTTATGCAAATTTTTGTGCAAATACGGTGAGTTTCGTCTGCAAATACAATAAGCTGTCATATATGGTGAGTTACACTGTAAATACAGTAAGCTCCCATATACAGTGAGTTATACTGTCAAATACGGTGAGTTGCAAATACGATGAGTTGCACTGTCAAATACGGTGAGTTGCACTGTCAAATACGATAAGTTGCACTGCCATATACAGTAAGCAATTGCCAAATACGATAAATGTGAATCCGTTGTCTAAAACACAAATACGATATATGAGAACCCAATTTAACTCCATACATTACCGATTAAATATAACAACAGTATGTATATCAGTTCTATAGGATGGAACACATAGCCCGTGTTTGAGCCCTATTTTCCAAGAATCTATTTTCTTCAAACTCATTTTCAATTACTCTTCCTTAAATTAAATAATTTTATGTCTGAATTCAAAACTTGTCATTATTTTTTAATCATACATTCCCCAGAAAATTACAATCACAAAATTTATTTTTTCCCAAAAATGGGGCCAACCAAGGGCTTGGGTTTTGGATGAAGTGACATGCGTTGTACTTGAACTCCCTTCTTAAAGGGCATTTTTGACAAATTGCATTTATTTTCCTTTGGATCAGCCAAAAAAACAATTTATATCATACCACACTTTTATAAGTTGGAGTTGGACCATATTTTATTTGCGCTCAGCGTGCGTCTTAAATCTTCACTTAGAGCCTGCTTGGAAGTGATTTTGAGAATTGATTTTTTGACCATTAGAAGAAAAGTGGGGTCCATTTACGGCTGAAATAGTGAAATAAGGGTCAAAAAATTAATTTTTTTGGGGAAAAAAATCACTCTCAAATAGGCTCTTAATATATCACTTATTTCCTCAATATATTCATCACATTTTTATTGTCAACCATATGTTAATTAACACAATTTGACTTTGATACCGACATATCACAACTTATTATATCCATCATATTTATTAAAAAAATAAAAAATACAAAAGTCTAACAAAATAATTTTCCCTTGTTTTACAACACATAAATATAATATTTTGACAAAAATCATCGTAAAAAATGCGGTGTGCTAATTAATGGAATATGAAAAATAAAAATTCAATTAAACATAGCTTAGAAAATAAAACCACAATAAACAAAAATAATAAGTACAATTAAAATACGATATCCTACGTATATAAAAGAGCAAATGGACGGGTTGGACACGTATAAAAAATATACATCGTCCTGTGCGGATTTTCCTCTTTGTTTTCTTTTTTTACACAAAATTAGTAAAATCACTATTTTTCAGTGCAGCCATGCCTTCACATTTTCTCAATTCATGTCAATCTGACAAAGAAACACCCTTTCTCCATTTTCCTACGCTACCGACCACGCTTTTTCAACAAATCTGCCATTCCAAAAGAAAAGGCTCTTAAAGAAAGCATCAAAATTGTCAAAAGCTTGAAGGGGAAGAATTTTTTTCGAGGCTCGTCTGTAAGTCGAAGTGTCCAGTGTTATGGTTCTTCAAAAAATTTATAGAATAATATATAAATATTGTTTATCAATCACTAAGTGTGTGATTCATCTTTATATTATAGAATAATATATAAATATTGTTTATCAATCACTAAGTGTGTGATTCATCTTTATATGATTTTGAATTAATCATCATTTTTCTTAAATTTTCTTTGATCATTGTATTTTGTTTTAGGTTTGCATAAACGAGCATAGTATTAGTTTTGTTCAAAATAGCTTCGAGATGATGATGAATTCTAGCTTCTGAGATAATTTTGTAAGAACTATACTATTAAAATTATTATTTTTTACTTTCGTATTAAACTAAGGCCAATATTAAAGATTGAATAGTGATTATTGGACGAAATCAGGAGAAAGGGGATAGACTGTGTTGGTTTTTTTATGGACTCAAAAAGGGAGATTCTTTTGGACTAAAATTCGTTTTTGGAGTAATTAGTCCAATAATCCGGTCTGTGCTTTCCTCCCATTTCATCCAAGATGGAGAAACTTTCTCCATCCCTCGGATATTTTATTTTTTGTTTTTTTTTCTCAGTTATCTTTTCTTTTTTAAATTTATTTTGTTCATGTTATAAATAACTTTCTTTTTAATTCTTTTCTTTTCACGATAAAACTTAATTTTTTCAGTTTTAATTAAATAATATTTATATATTCTTTCTTTTTTTGTAACTTTTTTTGTTTAATTTATTTTGTTTTGTTTTTAAAATATATTTATTGAAAATTGTTTTAAAATTTCTTTTCTCTTCATATTATAAATAATTTTTTTCTTGATTTAAAATTCTTTTTAATTATTTTCGTTTTATGATAAAACTTAATTTTTTTAATTTTAATTCTTTTAATTTAATTAAAAAACTTTATAATAATCCTTTTTTTTTGTTTATTTCTATTTTTGTCTGCAATTTTTTTTGTTATTTAATTTTTTAAATCATTGAGTTTCTTTTCTTTATTAGTGTTGGATTGGATGAAGTGAAGTGAAGTGGTGTATGAAAATGGAGAAATATTGCAGTGCAGGTGATGGTTGCGGTGAAGTTGCGAGTAAAAATGGAGAAATGATTGAAGGCAACACAACATCATTTTTGCTCCCACGATGAAGAAAATTTGAAATTATTTTTAAATTTTTTCTCTTTATAATAAAATTTAATTTTTTCAATTTTAATTAAATAATATTTATATATTCTTTATTTAATTTTCTTAACTTATTTTTTTGTTCAATTTGTTTTGTTTTCATTATATTTTTCGAAAATTGTTTAAATTTTTTTTTCATATTATAAATAATTTTTTGTTCGACTTAAATTCTTTTAAATTAAATTTTGAAAAGTTTGAAGATGTTTTCTCCCTTTGTGATTATGCCCACATCTACATTATTTTCAAATATTCTAATTACCTGAAGCTCCAATGGCAACAAAATCATTTCATTGGAAGAAGGTTATACATGAAATTGCACTTAACATTTTAAACTATAAATTAGGATACTGCATGGTGCTTATCAACATTAAAAATCATTTTTTATGTAATAGTGTAGATATTGTTATGTTTGTATATTTTGGTGATATTTAATTATTATAATCATAGTATGGATTAGGAGCAAAATTTGAGTGGGCTAAATCATATTTTAGGCTCAGCTAATATATATAGAGAAATATATTAGGCATAAAGTTTTTTCCCACAAACTTTTGTACAGGGAAATGCTTAGTACAAATATATGCAAATTCTCAAATGTTCATATGAAGAATAAAAAATATACAGAGAAAATTTATGAAAAATAAGTCAATTTCAACGAATTTATGAATACCTTTCAAATTTATAAATGAAATTTTCTAAAATTTATATACATTTATTTTAAACATTAATAAATTAACGTTCAACACACGTTCACTCACTAGTATCAAATAATTTTTTTTTTTTTTTTTTTTTCTATATAACCACCTTCGAAAAATTAAATGAAAAGGCAAAACTAATCCCTGCCCCCACACTACTCACGTGCCAACAACCTTGCTCTAGTCATCCAGTAGCAACTTTCACCTCGTCTTGCTTCTCTTTCGAAAGCCTTGATTCATTGTATTGTAATGAGACCCAACCCAATGCTTGTGTTCGCCATGGACGTGACACCACAACTATGAGATGTAAATTTTTAATTAGGACAAATTTCTTCAACAAGTACAAAAAAACTTGGTGGGATGGACAGATTTTGAGATGAAATGTAAAATGAAGGTTGAATGGAATGTTATTGAATTGTGTACAATAAACGCTTTCTCCTGGTTGTCTCCTTTCTTTCTATTTTTTACCCATATTGACAAACAAATCGAGCGAAGACTTGTATGCCTAGTTTCAGGAACGGTAGGTACTAAAAAGTTCGTAAAGGATCTAAGTGCTATCTTTAGCAAAGGTTGAGGACCCCAGTACAAATTTTTCTTTTTACTATGCCCCTGTTAGGTGAGGACTTAAATTAATTTCTTAGTAGATTTTGATTAAAATTGATGAAATATGTTGTTGAAAAGTTATAAATCTCGTAAAGTATATGATTATGACTTTGACTAAAATTTAAAATTCACTCCTTATTAAACAGGGTTACATGTATTTTTGTTTCCTGAACTTTTCCTCTCTTCTTTTGTGGTGTGTTGTTGAACCAGGTGTGGGGTGGGACTTGAGAGTGGTCACGCTCAGTCACAACTCACAAGTCACAAGGCCCACTTTTTTGACAACTTTCTCACCAACAAACAAAAATAAATTAGAACGTTGGGAGCAATGGCCTACCACGATCCTACACTAAAAGCCCCGAACTCATCATGTTCTCAAATACGGGTCCCATCGTTATCTTTTCAGTTCAACAAATATTAACAGCTCTTTCACAAATTTTATTTATTTTTTCATTCTTTTGACAGGTTTTTGTTAGATTAATTTTCTTGGGTGCAGTTCAAAATGGCAGCCAACAGTGCAAAAACTACAAACCCAACAGTTGGAAATAAATAAAAACAAAAGAAAACGTCCATTTTTTTCTCCTTATCCCACTTTTCATTAACACTTTCTTGTGATTTTTTAAAGAATAAACAAAACAAAAACGTTCATATGCACACCACCCAAGAAAGTTGCAGATGCTCCTTCCTCTCTCTAGCTATACATTTTTCTTCTAAAAACAATAAATTTTGAATTAATTGACTAGGGTGTTGGAACTTCTCTTTACAGCTATGCGTAGTTAGTGCAAAATGGTTTCTTCCTTCGTGGGTTTCCTTCACTCTGCTGCACTTGGGAACCATTAATGGTGGATATGAGTAGTTGTACTTCTTGAAGCAAAAGCTGTACATTTCTCATTCGAGGAATACTTGTTTGATTTCTTTCTCTTGGGAACTCTTGGATTTTACTTTTTGGGTTGCACCCAAAATGGAGGATGGTAAAGGAGTTAGCTTTATAATGCTGCTGCTGTGTTTGTGGATTTTGGTTGGGTGCTGTTTGGGACAGAACACTTCAGATTCGGTTACTGCTGTGTATATTGTGACAATGAAACAAGCCCCTGTTTCTCATTACTACAGTGAGTTCAGAGTGAAGAAGGAGCATCAAATTAAGCGGAGCGATTCTGAGAGAAGGACTAGACTGGATAAACCCAGGTATTCTTTTTCTTAAATATTTACTCTTTAGATTATATAAATATATAATGCAATTTAAGGAAACGACAGATTTATAACTAGCTGGATTGTTTCATATGTATATTGCTTTCTTGTTTTGTAGAAATGATTGGAAGTTGGATAAAACTGATTATGAAAGGAAAAGCTAAAATATTGATTCCTTGGAAGTTTCTTTTAGGAAAGTAGTGGTATAATATTTGGGTTTTAGTTATTAAGGCCTAATTTGTGTCTTGTATTTAAGTTGAAATCTATAAAGGTTCCTAGGCATTTGTTTAAAAATAAAATAAAAAAAATAAAATTAAGTGCCTACGTTAGAATTTCCAAAAATCATTGTCAAAATAGATAATTGATGTCGGTTTAGTTTTTGCTGCACGTATATGTGAATAACGTTACTTATCCAGAAAATTAGATTATATGTATTTTTGCTATTGTTATCGTCGGAATATTGGGTGTCACAGTCTGTCTCCATGTGATTCAAATGTTTGGATTATGAATCAAGAAGGTTGACCTATTATTGTTTTGTTTTTGGTTTTATATTTGAAATCAGCAATATTTCAAGAACAGATAGGCACCGCGGATCATATGTAGCCCGTGTACATGATTCCCTATTGAGGAGGGTATTAAGAGGGGAAAAATATCTTAAATTGTACAGCTACCACTATCTGATAAACGGATTTGCTGTGCTTGTCACCCCACAGCAGGTTAGTTGCTAAATTTGTCACACCTTTATTGTTAATTGACTTCAACGATACTTATTGTTGACTAATTTTGCGTATTATTGTAAGTGCTATATTTGCTTGATCAAATCTTTTCACATTCCTGTTTATGAATTTTCACGCTGTTGATTTTTAAAGGCTGGCAAGCTTTTGAGGAGGAGAGAAGTGTCAAATGTGGTTTTGGATTTCACTGTAAGAACTGCAACCACTCACACTCCCCAGTTCCTAGGTCTTCCGCAAGGGGCATGGGCAAAAGAAGGAGGATTTGAAACTGCAGGAGAAGGGATTGTGATTGGATTCATTGACACCGGAATTGATCCATTGCACCCCAGCTTCTCTGATGATGCACCTGATAAACCGTATCCAGTACCAGAGCATTTTTCTGGCATTTGTGAAGTCACGCGAGACTTTCCATCTGGCTCCTGCAATAGGAAGCTTATTGGGGCTCGCCATTTTGCGGCATCTGCCATAACTAGAGGGATATTCAATGCCACTCAGGACTATGCTTCACCGTATGATGGGGATGGCCATGGAACGTAAGTATAGGCCTTGTGTTGTTATAACTAGATCACTATCTTCCTAAAGTACATATTGATATTCGTTGTAGAAGGGTATTTTCTCCCTTTCTATCATAGAAAGGTTCTACAATTCAACCTAGAAAATTGTGACTTTTGTAAAACCATCTTAAATTCCTTTGCCTTCCTCTTTTGTCGTGTCTGAAAATATTTTTCGCACTTATTCTTTTGAATTAGTTCAACCCTTGATAGGATAGCTTTTAGTTTCATCTCATGTCATGCAATGAGAGGAAGAAAAGTTAATTATATGAAACAGAAAACATCTTGAACTACAGATATAAATCTCCACCTTTCATGATGCAATTATTTCAATTTTAAGTTGTTTCTTAATGATTAAGTAGCTAATTTGTCTAAATTTTCATAATGATGCAGCCATACGGCTGCAACTGCAGCTGGAAACCATGGGATTCCGGTCGTAGTAGCTGGGCATCACTTTGGAAATGCCAGTGGAATGGCTCCTCGTTCACAGTAAGTTTACTTTCTGCTTTGAATTCTATTTATTGCCTTCTCTGAGTCACATAGTCCTCAACCTTACACAATATGCTTTGACATAAAGCCCCTGTTTGGCCCCCATTAAATTACATTCTATTTTTCTCTCTTTTATTTTCAATTACACAATCTTCTATAAAATAATATTACATAAAAATCGAAAACTTTTCCTTCTTTTTCAACTACTTATTTTTCAAAAAAACACTATTTCACCAATTTTCATTTCTAGAAAATGGGGGCCAAACAGGGGCAAAAAATATAGAAGGAATTTGTCTTGTTAGTGAACTTCATATGAAGTGTCAAGTGTTCATCTCTAAGCAAGCGCTCTAAAGTTCTGCAGTTTTCATGCCAGATGGCGGATTTAGTTTCCTAGTTTTAAATATGCTGAATTATGAATTGACCACATGACAATATTTTCTAGCATTGCTGTTTATAAGGCATTATACAAGAGCTTCGGAGGCTTCGCGGCGGATGTAGTTGCTGCAATAGACCAGGTACACCTCTAATAATGCTGCATTTTGGATTTCCTTGCATTTTTCTTTTATTATATTTTTTCGTTCGTTCATACTCTGAAATTATTAGTCATATATGTCATACATTGATATTGATATGATTACTCATTCAATTTTGCAGGCAGCTCAGGATGGAGTGGATATAATAAGCTTGTCAATAACTCCAAACAGGCGTCCTCCAGGCATTGCCACTTTTTTTAATCCTATAGACATGGCATTACTGTCAGCCATAAAGGCAGGTATCTTTGTAATACAGGCAGCAGGGAATACTGGACCATCACCTAAGAGCATCTCTTCCTTCAGTCCATGGATATTTACTGTGGGTGCTGCTTCTCACGATAGAAGCTATAGTAACTCTATTGTCCTTGGAAACAACATAACGATTTCTGGAGTTGGATTTGCACGTAAGTCGGGGTTCCTGAATTATTGATTGACTTATTTTATTCTTCGGAAAATATGGTATCCATCCTGTGTCTAGTCATACACAAGAATCTAAGAGCAATTTCTATAGCGTAAAACAGTCTGGATTGAAAAAAAAAATCATTTGATGGACCAATTATATATACTGATTTTATTGGTTTATCTAACCATAAATTGAAAGGCTTAATTTTGTCCTTATGTTATTGTCTTTCGATCATTCGGTTTAGTTCTTCATCAAACCTATGATTTTATGGTAGCTTTCTTGATTTCCTCTACATTGGGCAAATTCGGCTAATTTTTTTATGTGTTTTATCCGCGGTAATTCATTTATTTTGATGGAGAGAGGGTCCGCTTGTAATCTAAATATTTTATTTTTTTTCCTTCTCTAGTTCAAGCTGTCCTGATTTTACACACGATTTTTTTTTCTTCTAATTTTATAGGATTTTTATCTACATGTGAGATACTTTTTTTCTAGCTGTCCTGATTTTACACTCCCATTGTTATTTCGACACAAAAATATGTTTATAGCTTGTTTGGGAGAGAATTTTGGAAATCACTTTTCCCCAAATAACTTTCAAGTTTCAACCACGCATTCTTCCCAAAAATAATAATAATAATAATAATAATAATAATAATAATAATAATAATAATAGTATTCAATAAAATGAAATAGAATAAAATTTCATTGTTCACTTGGAAAAATCTCTCACAAACGAGCTCTTAGTATTTCAATGCTCACAACATTTACATACTCATGAGTTCATATTTGGACCATTGATGATAACACTCACTTCTCTTTGCTATAATCTACACCTTTAGTCGCATGAAAACATGAAATTATGTTAAGCTTTACTTTGTTGTGGGCAGCGGGAACGGATGGAGATACAATGTATACACTGGTTTCTGCAATTCATGCTTTAAATGAGACGGTTGCTGCAAATGATATGTATGTTGGTGAATGTCAAGATGCAAGCAATTTTAATCAGGATATTATTCAAGGGAATCTCTTGATATGTAGCTACTCAATCCGGTTTGTACTTGGGCTGTCCACTATCAAACAAGCTTTAGAAACAGCTAAAAACCTGAGCGCGGCTGGTGTCGTGTTTTACATGGATCCCTTTGTCATTGGTTTCCAACTTAACCCCATCCCCATGAGATTGCCTGGCATCGTAATTCCATCTCCAGATGATTCCAAGGTATGTTTGTATTCTTATAAGTTTTACCAATTCATAAGAATACATACAGCAGAGTTCTGATTCAGATAGATGTGAGAATGTACACTTTTCCCTAATATGGTGAAAATCTGCAACTGCTTGTGCACGTATCTCTTACATTGATGGTGAACAACTATAAATCTTTGTTTGCTTGCTCATTTTCAGATTCCTTTTTTTTTTTTATGTTTATTATTGCTCGTAAAAGTTGGAAATAGGGTTTAATCCATAACAATTTTCTTGGCAGGTTTTGCTCAAGTACTATAATTCTTCTTTGGAGAGAGATGGAGTTACACAGAAAATTGTTAAGTTTGGGGCAGTTGCATGCATCTCTGGTGGAATAAAAGCAAATTTCAGCCATTCTGCTCCGAAGATTATGTATTATTCTGCTAGAGGACCAGATCCAGAGGACAGTTTCCTTGATGATGCTGACATACTGAAACCAAACCTTGTTGCACCCGGAAACTTAATATGGGCTGCCTGGAGTTCCCGCGGTACTGAATCAGTTGAATTTCAAGGTACTTATCCCATGCATGAGAAAATCTTCAAATTACCACTGCATTACTTCAGAGATCTTTAATTAAGATTATGCTGGACTATGATAAATTCTAGGTGAAAACTTCGCTATGATGTCTGGAACGAGCATGGCAGCTCCTCATGTTGCTGGGCTTGCAGCTTTAGTAAGGCAGAAATTTCCCACCTTTTCTCCTTCAGCCATAGCGTCTGCACTTTCAACAACAGCTTCACTTTTTGATAAAAATGGAGATCCCATTATGGCACAACGTGCTTATGCGAACCCTGATTTGAACCAATCTCCTGCTACACCCTTTGACCTGGGTAGTGGTTTTGTTAATGCAACTGCTGCCCTGGATCCAGGCCTTATTTTTGATTCAAGTAAGTTGCACTGCTTCTATCATAAAGTCTCACATTGCATATAAATTCTTGAAAATTTTAGGGCATGTCATTATTCAACTATTGGTCACTACATGTGTTACTGGAGAAGATTCTCCAAATTTTATCGTCAATCGTTGTGCATCTGGCTATGACATAAGCTAAGTAAGAAAGGCTTGACATGCACCCAAGAAAACTTGTTTTAACAGAGGGAAAATACTGAAGTCAACCAAGTAAAGGGAAAAGATTTCTATTTAACTTCAGAAATAGCTATAAACAAAATGGCAAGATATCTTGAACCCTGATTTCTACCCGTTGCAGGTTATGATGACTACATGTCCTTCCTTTGTGGCATAAATGGATCATCTTCTGTAGTTCTAAACTACACTGGTCAAAGCTGTGGAGTTTCTACCATGAATGGCACTGACCTAAACTTGCCCTCCATTACAATATCAAAGTTGAACCAGTCGACCACCATTCTACGAGCAGTGACTAACGTTGCCGGAAATGAGACATATCGAGTAGGTTGGAGTGCCCCTTATGGAGCTTCCGTTAAGGTGATGCCGACTCACTTTTTTATTGCAAGTGGAGAAAAACAGGTGTTGAGTGTATTCTTTGATGCAATTCTGAACAGTTCAGTTGCAAGCTTTGGAAGAATTGGACTGTTTGGTACTCAGGGTCATGTAGTCAACATTCCTTTGTCAGTCATTGTGAAAATTTCATACAACACAACTAATGCCTGGTGATAATTTCCTTGTAATAGAGTCCAATTTTTTCATTAGTTGCTTTGTAAATGATTATCATTGTTAACAGGGGCGGATCCAGACCGTTTGAACTGTGGGGTCAAAATTTTTTTTTTCGAACAACATATTATGAACAAAAAGGAAAAATCGGTTGTTTGTTGTTCATGTTCTATATTTGCACTTTGGGAAGAAATCGGTGGATTATATAATATATCTATGGACTAAATAATGGATATGGACCATGTGATATGGATATAGATTTAGGATTTGGACTTTTTGGGACAAAAAATTAAGTTTATAGGAAAAAAAAAATTCCGGAAAACTGTGGGGTCATTTGACCCCACATGACCTCATGAGGGTCCGCCCCTGATTGTTAAGAAAACTGATTGTTTGAATCTCTCTCTCTCTCTCTCTCTCTCTCTAGATCAAAAATTGCAATATTGATCTTCAACTTTCCAAAAAGCAGGTTGGATTCCAACGTTAGAATTTGTTTGCACTGATAGTTCAAGTAGATAATTTCTGTGTAAACCAAATTGTAATCTACTGGAACTAATCTTGCAAACGGAACTATAATGTGGATTGATTTCAGTCACAATCTCAAAATTCACAGGCTTGATTTTTCTTGTCTAAGCTCAAATGGATTAACCAAAAAATAAAATAAAAAAAGAGGGTGGACTACAATGGTTTCAATTTTAAGAGGGCTATTTGGCAAATAACTAAAACTAGAGAGTGTAAATAGAAAATATCTAATATATGAGGACTAAATTGTAATTAAATCAAAGTGGAAAAGGATAGAAAAAAAGTATCTTCTCCGTTAGAATATGGAACGCAATCTACAAAAAGTCAATCCCACGCGCTTTTAAATAGCTGCGGAGAAGAATTATAATCCCAAATCCAAATCAAATTAGACTCTATTTCTTGCTTATTTTTATTTACAATTGTCCACAAAATCTCAATTCTCGTTTCGAACTTATCCCCTATCTACAATCTAAAAATATTCGTCGGATTTTGAGTTGGTAAGAAATTCTCCTTCTCTACGTAATTTGTCAATTAATCAGCGTTTACTGATGAGCGGAAAGCACGATTTTTTTTTTTGCTAGAATTTTAGGGTGTTAAGTATTTTTCGATCCAATATTTCTGATTCAGTTCAGTTATGACTAATTCATTGCACGTATGGTGTGCATTTTAGATTTTGATTTTGATTTTTTTTTTCCCTTAATGCTTGTTTCTTCCGAATTATATGTGTATGTGGTAATGTGCCCGCGTGAAACCTTTTCTTCTTTATTTCATTTTTACCCTCGGAACGAACTCTCGGGCCTTTAATTTTCTTTTACTTTAAATAATTTGTCTCTGCTGTTACTAGGTCCAAGTAATAAAAGATTGATTTTTTATTGTGTACGTAATTTTTATTATTTGGATTGAATCGATTAAATTCACTTGAAATTTTTGAGTATTTGGATTTTGTTTATAATCGGTGTTTTGAATAAATAGATAAAAATGAAGCGCGGAAAAGTGAGTAGATAAGTGGATAAAAAATGGTTTGATCAATTATAAACTGTTTCCGAACAAGGGTTTAAATGCCAAGTTTTTTTTCCTCCAGTAACTGGTTATTGTACTGGTTTCAAACTATCGATTGTTAAAATGTTGAGAGATTAAACATTTAGACTTGAACAGGATGCGCACGGTGTTTACTAGTAATTTAAATATCCAACTTTTGAACATTGCAGAAATGCAGGGCCAATTGGTTTGCAGTGGGTGTAGGACTGTCCTCCTTTATCCCAGAGGAGCTGCAAATGTTTGCTGTTCATTGTGCAAGGCAGTCACTTCTGTACCCCCACCTGGTATTACTTGACAATCTTTTTCGAAATGGCTATTTTATGTCCGAACTCCAAAACAAGGAAACTTCATTGAAGATCTCTGATAGGTCAACTTTCATTGTGTTCCTTGAGTATTTCACATGAATGAATGGGTTTAGGGGAGATACAGATGTAGAAAGTGGGGAATTTTTTATGTGTTTGGTTTCAGATCTCTAGGTTTTTCAGCTTTAATACGTCTTTAGTTTTGATGGTTCAACATCCAGTGTAGGTTCTTTAGTTAAGTTCATATAACATTTGTTTATTAATTGATTCTCAAAAATTGAAAGAAAGGTTTGCACGGTTAGGGAGAGAATATATCTCCAGGCCTGCTATTTTGGTCTTTGCTGACTGATTGTTTTTGTAGATTTTACAGAAGTTATCTGCAATTTCATGCTTAGCATAATATGTTTTAAGGAATAAGGAAGCCAAAATTTTCCATGGCTTCTCCAAGACGACGTGTAATAGTATGCACCTCTGCTAAGAACCTAGAGTAGGCAGTTTGTTTGACTCATAGATTAATCATCTGAGTCAAGACAGGTTGACATCTGTGCTGTAATGCGCATGTTAAATGAATTTCTGTGACCAGATGGAATAAATTCTTAGGGATAGCCTGAGTTGGTGATAGTTTGATAGATTAAGGGTAAAATAAGGCGAAGTTTTCTATAGTTATGTTTCCTTGGAGGCTGACTGTAACTTTCTAGAATAATGTATCTGATACAAGTCACAGTTTTCTGACACATTCTAGTTGGCATCTTTATCTTTGATTTTTGATGACAACATGCAGGGATGGAAATGGCTCAACTGATATGTGGAGGCTGCCGTACGTTACTTATGCATGCACGGGGAGCCACCAGTGTCAGATGTTCATGCTGTCACACGGTGAATCTTGTACCAGGTACGGACATAGGATTCTATTTGTATAATATAATGCTTAAATGCATCAAATATTATACAAAATTTCCCTTCCAGAATGGTGAAGATGTGTTCTCTGTAGAAGGTTGTATTTGGTTTTTGGCTTCGTACCAATGCATAATGGACAAAAGTGGCTTGTACAATATTCTTCTTAAATCCATGGATCGTGCTAGTTTCCTTTTATCTTCAGCTCATCAACTTACATTTTTAAATGATGGATGTACAGCACCTAATCATGTTGCTCATGTTAGCTGCGGTAACTGTCGTACAACGCTAATGTATCCAGCAGGAGCCCCATCAGTCAAATGTGCTATATGTCACTACATTACAAATGTCAATGCCTATAACACGGTATTTACTTGAAATTTTTATAGATCACTGCTGATCACATACACAGAGGAAATTTCTTAGAGCATTTTTGGGTTGGCTTAATTCTAAATAAGTCCACCTAAACATGCTCTTAGACTTTTGTTCCCTGCTTTGAAGGCTTCCTTTGAATCATGCTTAGGAAATTACTATATTTTTCTCTTTGAGATAAAAATGTTTGACAAATTTTTTGATGTAATGATTCAAATTATTGTTTGGGATTTATCAGTGTATGTGATGTAGGGCAACTTTTCCAGTTTTATATACTGCACTAAAATGGTTGATACTTAGTTATCCGAGTGAATTACCCAAATGGTCACTGAACTTTGTAAAAGGTTTCCATGGGGTCACCGAACTTTAAAAATTACTCAATTCATCATTGAATTTTGCAAAATGTTTCTACGGGATCACTCTCGGGAAACCTTTTGCAAAGTTTAGTGATGAATTTGGTGATTTTTAAAGTTCAGTGATCCCGTGGAAACTTTTTGCAAAGTTCAATAGTCTCACTCCTTTGTTATCCACATGTAGAAGTTTACACTTCTAACAAAACAAAGAAAAAGAGAAACAAAGAAAGGAAGAGAATAACAATTAAGAGAGAACTGGCTATTGAGAGCACTGTTCTTGTCCGTGGTTCTCTCAGGTGCCAATGTTGCAAATAACATTATCAAGTCGAATCCTGCTTTCTTTTTCAAAGATACTCATGCTATGTCTCTAACTTTTATCAACTTTGGCAGATAAGTGATACAAGGGTTCCAGCTCCTGTGCACGGACCTGGTGGGAACCCGCCATCCGCATCAACGCCGTCTACTTCCACCGTCAGTCCTTTTTTTTTTTTTTTGGCTATACCATTTATTCATTATGGTTCTGATAATTTTATGTTGCATCCAATGATCAATCTGGTCTATTTGCTACAGGCAACAGCCAATTTGCACAATCAAACAGTCGTCGTTCAGAATCCCATGTCCGTAGATGAAAGTGGAAAATTGGTGAGTTTTTTCGTATTTCCCATTAAGCTTTTCCTTCTACCTTGAATGTTTTTACCTATCGTTGTTTTGAATGCTGAAGATTATTTAAGCTGACCTGATTGTGACTGTTTGTAGGTGAGCAATGTCGTTGTTGGTGTCACAACGTAGGAAAGTTTTTTTTTTTTTTTTTTTTTTTTTTTTTTTTTTTTTTTTTGATAACCCAGGTGTCCCAGCTTAGCCGGACTAAATCCTGGACCTCTAGCCCCCGGCCCCTCAGTGACTAGTGGAGGTAAATCGCAGGTTGTGCCCTTGTTGGTTCCCAGGTTCCCACATGGCTTTTACTCCTTCCCCAAAGGGACCCTCCTCCATAGTTATTACATCACCAAGCTGCTCCAACCCTTCCTCTGGTTATTACATCACTTGGCTGCTCCAACCAGGAATCGAACTCCCCACACTTGGTTCCAGAGCCCCACAACGTAGGAAAGTTAATGATATGTAATACCTACTATTGGTTCCCACAGCGGATGGTCGTTTCGGACTTATTTGGCTTCAACTTCGTATAGAGTCGTTTTATGCATATTGTAATTGGCAATTAAAAGTATGGAAATACAATGCTGCAAGTGTAAAGTTTCATAAGAGACTCATTTTTTTTCTTTTTCTTTTTGTAGTTCATGGAAGGGACAACTAGTGGAAGTTGATTTTCCAGTCATTTGTTGGTGTTGTTTGATATTAATACATTGTAAATTAGTGGGGTGAATATGTTCATGTCATCCAGTTGATTGTAGACATTAACTTATTAATGATGTGTGTGAAATAATTTCTTTCATAATTGTGCTTCCCTCCTTATATTAGGCTAATTTTAATTTACATTTGCTGGATTACAATGTAATGCAATTACATGCATCGGTTTTTGGAGTTCAGATCTACTGTCTCATTTTTGTCATCTTTCTAATAAAAACTTGATGCTTCACTCCAATTTTGAGGGCAAACCCCATCTTGGATTGGGAAGTCTCATTACTTCGTTTAGGGTTCGTTTGATTATGAAAATGAAATTTTAGTGGAAAGAAAACGAATTTTAGGGAATTGAATTACCTAGAAATTGTTTTCTTAGGGATTGTAAATTTTCCTGTTTGATTGATATAATTTTTCACGTGAAAAATGTTGAAATAAATGTGATTTTTAGTGTTGGTTTGGCTTTGTTTTATATGAAAATTGTCAATTAAAGGAATATAATTTACTGGTATTAGGGATAAAATTTGTTTTCATTGAAAAAAAAAAGTTTAAGAAAATCATCTATCTTTTGGTATTCGTTTGACTTTGTTTTACATAAAAATTGTTAATTAATGGAAAATATATATATTTTTTTTTTACAATAATTCTTAGAATTTATTTTCATTACAAAAAAAAAAAAGAAAAAAAAAGGTCAACAGTAACCAGAAAAATTAATTCCCATCAATATGGTGGGAATTGATTTTCCCACAAAAGCAAGAAAAGTGCAACTCCCAAGAAATCTACGAATTTCTATTCCATGGAAAATGAACGCCTATCAAACACACAAAGTTGGAAAATGCCACCCAAATTTCATTTTCCATGAAAATGTTTTGTCAATGAAACGGTGCCTTAATTCTTTTATAATTCTTCGCCCATGAGTATTTTATGGTTAAATGAACAGGAATGAATTAATTAAATAAGAGACGTCTAAACTTTTGAAATTAGTTATTGCCCAATTGCGTTCATCTTTTTGTATCAAACTTAGCATTGAGTCCATGGAATTCGATGTGAGTCAAAGTGATCTAAGTCATAGTTTTCCCCTCCCTTTAAGCCATAATCCTTGATAATGTCTGAAATGGCACGCAATATCTCGTTCTTGTTTTTCCAATCTACTGTCATCTACATGTATATCCACCTTTGTTCTTTTTCCCAACAAAATCGGACTAACTGAAACGAATAAGAGAGAATAGTCATACTTACTAGAATGGAAACTGTGCATATGATTTATGATGATCACTCATATATATTCAGCAATGCTTAAATCTATCTGTATCTTCTTCTCTTAATTCTCCTCGACTGCCACCCTGACCCGACCCGAGAAGACGAAATGGCTTCAGAAGGTGGAGAGAAACCAGAGGGTTTTGGTGTGGAACAGGTGGCAGTGACTACGAGGTCATATGATTGGATCATTCCCATACTGAGGTTGCTTGCATTTTTTGCGACTCTTGCTGCGACACTTGTAATGGCGCTTAACAAACAAAAGAAAACTTTTGTTGTTGCCACTATTGGAACCACTCCAATACAAGTTACCCTCACCGCCAAATTTCAACACACACCAGCATTTGTGTAAGTTTCTAATTTCTTTTCAGATACACACTTTATCGACGCTTTTTAGATAAATGTTACTTTTAGTATACTGAATTGGACCGAAATCATATATACCTTACATTTACAGATTCTTCGTGATAGCTAATGGCAATGCTAGTCTCCATAACTTGTTGATGCTAATCGTCAGTATCCTGGGACCCAAGTTTGATTACAAGGGACTTCGCCCTTTAGTAATTGCAGCATTAGACATGGTTAACAATTCACCATTCACGTCGTCAATAAGTGACACTTAACCTGTTTTTTTCCGAAGATAAGTAAACGTGTTGATCTCTTTGTGAATGTAGATGAACGTGGCCCTTGTCTCCGGTGGAGTGAATGCAGCGGCTTTCATGGGTCAGCTGGGTAGGGATGGAAATTCTCATGCAAGGTGGAACAAAATTTGTGACAAATTTGACAGCTATTGCGACCGTGGAAGTGGTGCCATGTTGGCTTCTTTCATCGGCCTCGGACTAATGATCATCATCAACATTATCTCCATCGTCAAGCTTCGCAGTCATAAACTTGTTAACTCTTCTATTATTCCTTGATCTATAAAGCTATATATTTGAGTGTACTTATAGTATTCTGTTTTTACTGCCTAAAATAATGTAATTTCTCGTGTATTGAATATGATTGACGAAGAAATACATGTGAAATATTTATTTGTGATTCTATCTACTCAATGCAGAGGATTGCTTAACGAGTCGTACTGTACTAGACACTATTAAGAAAGATCCCATTAACTTAATATGGAAGAATTAGATATCCACGGCCATCTTCAAAGAGTAGAAGTGCCAAAATACAACAAGAGATGTTGAAAGATCATCTTATGATCATTACTATGCATAGCTCAATTCTCCATCTTCAGGCCGTCTTATCCCTCAGTGTTCAGTGTGTAACTAGCGTTCTATCGATCTACTCAATTCCTCCCAAACATCCATTGTGTTCCATGTACGGTTCAAGAGTGTCCCGTACTTTCTTTCTTACCTGCATACAAAAGTACGCTTTACATAAATTGGTACGTACACAACATTGTAACGGAAATTATAAGGATATGCAAGCTTTATTATGTTGAACATTTGGGAACAGAAATGCTACTTGAATAGTTCTGTTTGTGACTTGAATGGAACGAGTATTGTGGTTATTGTTGGGTTTTTTGATACCCAATAATTCGGACGATGATTTAAAACAGTTGTCAGATTATTTATCGACACCATGGACTTGGCTCGGCTCGGAGACAAACTACACTTTTGGATGGCCCAAGTCTTGGTTAGTGTTGGGCGTTGGGGTATTTGTTGAATTAGTAGATTGTGGGTTGGATTAATCGGTAGCCCAGTAGTTTAGGTTTTAAGAAGCCCTTTTGCACAAGTTTTTGGCCCAAGTTGTGTGTCTAACCTATGCTATATATATCCATGTATTCCCAGCCATTTTCTCTATGGTGGTGAGTGGGTGTGTGTGGAAGAGAGAGCCATGAGAGAGAGAGAGCCGAGAGGGTTGAGGGGCAGCCGGCTTGGAGGGTTTGTTGGAGTGATTCCCACCATTGTTGCCTCTTCTTCTCCTTCCTATTACCACCACCATCCCTTCTCCTTTTGTGGGGTTTGAGAGAGTTTGGGCAGTTCAAAGTGAAGACGAAAGTCTTGGGTCAAGCCAAGGTAAATCGGTGTTCGTTTGATTATTTTCTGAGCTCGGAATCAAGATTTATCGAGGGATTTTCGCTACAAATGGTATAAGAGCTTGTGTTGTTGATAAATCTGTGATTTTTGGGACTAAAATCGAGCTAGAAGTGGCCCGAAATCGATCTGAAAAATAGGCAGAAAACTGGACAGAATTCTGATAGATTTTTCAAAAACTGGACGAATCTGTTTTGGTGTTTTTCGACCAAACCAATTTCCATTTGGAGAAACGAACACCACCATTGGACTGTGCAGGTGGAGACGGTTCAGAAAGGTCGGGGCATCGCCGACGCGTGGGAACTCCGTCGAGGCACGTGAGGGTGCATCGTGCAGAATTCGGAGATGGTGTCTTCGGACACAATGTTGCTGATGATGTGACGGACCCTGCAGTGCTTTCGGATTTCAGTTTGGAGCAATACAGTGAAAGTTATACAATTTTGCCCTTGAAAGTTTGGGTGCCGGGTACTGTTTTCGTGTTGTTGTGGTTGTTGTTGACTTTAGGATAAACAATATATTTCTAAAGTGGTGAATTCGCATGTCTCGATATTTACACGCCTTCAGACGTGGCCCGCTCGGGTATTGTATTCTTTGTCTTTTATTATTGCAGTTAAAATTAATGTGTAAGTTAATTATTTATTTTTTCACGTTAGAAATTATTGTGTGGGGTGACGTTAGGTTTGAGGTAACCATTACTTGTTGCTAGACCTACGAATTACATATTAATTAATTGCCTTAAATTCTATGTGAATTTGTCACCAATTTTTCTACACCGATAGAATTGCATGTGACCATAGAAAAGTTTACTTAACTATTCTGTGTGAATTATGTGTCAGTACTTTGCTTGTGGTCATTATTTGGTATTGTTGGCATGTATATGTCTAAGGTAAGTGCGAAAAATAAAATATATTTTAATTGTGGTAAAATTTGGGTATAGTTGAAAGAAATTGTCTTAGGATGATAATAAAAGGAAAGATGAGAATAGATACAAGGCGAATGTAACTTTAGGGTTGAGTAGTGATCCTAGTGAGGTTTATTGAGAGAATAAACCTAGTTACTGCATTGCATCTGTGTGTAATCCTTTCTTATGTATGTGGTCACTTAATTTTGTTGCAATATTGATGTTACACTTTCAACTTGTTTGATGTGTAATTACATGATTGAGAGTAATCTTATTACTTTGTGTAATATGTTTACATGCATAGTGGGTTGAGTTTTGTGGCGTACTCTGTTTGCTCCGTGAGTGGTGTGAGAGTGTGGTAGTGAGAAGAAAGTGGGCAGCCATTTCTCTCCTTTATCTTTGTGAGCCTGTGTGGGTTGTGAGATTATGTGAGGCATCTATGTTAGGGTTACCTTCGTTATCTTTGTGAGCTTCCTTTGAGAATGTTGTGAAGCAACCGACTCTTTCTTTGATTTTTTTTTGTGAGTGTCACCTTCGCCGTTTTCTTTTTAGATTTTTGGAGCTTTGGTGATTAGAGAACATTTGTGGTCACCGAAAAGTGTTGTTTTGCTGCAGTGAGTTTGTGATGCATTAGCAGTGAGTTGGATGTCTTTTGGTAAAATGGGGGTATAGATGCCTAGATGTGCATTGGTGATATGAACGGGGAATGTGGAGTGTGACATTTGGATCATGCGTGGAGATGTGATCAAATGTATAGAATCCTTTATTTGTGAAAGAGATCATGATCAGGTGAAATGTGAGAGAGGCACTTCTATCACTTCTGTTGGGTGGAGTCCCATTATTCACGTAGGTTGGGAGAAGTGATGTGGTGATAGAGGATTATCCCAAAAGCTTAGGATCTATTGTGACTTACCAGTTAGACATGAGTTGAGTGATCTGGTTAGTGAGCATGGTGGGCGACGAGAGGAGATATGTGTTCTGAAGGTGGGAGTAACATGAAATAGGATAGGATAAGTGTGGTGCGATCTTTCATTGGGTCATTTATGCATTTGTTGCATATGTGCGTGACCGTGTGTTGATTAACTAGGTGTTAATCTGTGGTTCTGTGTGAACGTGGTTTTGAAAAGATCTGTATGTATGTTATCCAATATTTTTCATCGCATGATTGTTTGTTCATTGTGAATACTTGTTTCTACTTGGGTGTTCTTAACCTTAATGCTGGTGAGTACATGGAGCAAGTATGGTATGTTTTTCGGTTTGAAACCCGAGGTAAGGTCTGAGATACCAATTTTATTGGATTATCTTGATTGTGCAAGTATAAACTGTGTGTTTTGGTTGCTTGTAGATTATTGTGCATCAAGGTGGAGATTGTTGGGTTTTTTGATACCTAATAATTCGGGCGATGATTTAAAACAGTTGTTGGATTATTTAACGACACCATGGACTTGTCTCGACTCGAAAACGAACTACACTTTTGGATGACCCAAATCTTGGTTAGTGTTGGGATTTGGGGTATTTGTTGAATTAGTAGATTGTAGGTTAGATTAATTGGTAGCCCATTAGTTTAGGTTTTAAGAAGAGCCCTTTTGCACAAGTTTTTGGCCCAAGTTGTGTGTCTAACCTATGCTATATATATCCATGTATTCCCAGCCGTTTTCTCTATGGTGTTGAGTGGGTGTGTGTGGAAGAGAGAGCCGTGAGAGAGAGAGAGAGCCGAGAGGGTTAAGGGGTAGCTGGCTTGGAGGGTTTGTTGGAGTGATTCCCACCATTGTTGCCTCTTCTTCTCCTTCCTATTACCACTACCATCCCTTCTCCTTTTCTGGGGTTTGAGAGAATTTGGGTAGTCCAAAGTGAAGGCGAAAGTCTTGGGTCGAACCAAGGTAAACATGTGTTTATTTGATTGTTTTCTGAGTCCGAAATCAAGATTTATCAAGGGATTTCCGCTACAGTTATATTTACAGATCCATAAAGCCTTCAACAATAAATATAAACCATGAGATCCATGAATACAAATAATGCAAACTCAGTCCAGATTGTCACATCCCCGAGGATCACTTGGGATTTAGGAAAATGGGCTGACTTTGTATGCTGCTAAGATTTTCGATTCTTGCTTCAATTGGAGAATCGTAGTCTGTGAAGCTTCATGAGAACATATTAGCACATATGAAAGTCACTATTTTACAATATGATTACCTCAGAATCATATATTGAGCAGGATTACCATCAGCTATAACTTTTGTGGTAGGACTTGAAGAATTCAACAATTCAGATTTCCTTAACCAGTTTAATACTCCATGTAGTCAAAATCAATCTTATTGACATGCCCTGAAACAAAGAATACATAAGCTAAAATGTAAATAATAAATTTTGATACAGAGAGTCTACTTGGCTGTTGACTATATCTCAATTCCACTCAAACTTACTAGGCCTTCTCCTTTACTACTTGGGATGGATTATGTGATGTGCTTGTATTCATCAAATATAGTTTTGCTTGAACTAAAATTCAAAAAGAACAATTCAGATTTAAACATCTAAATTTTTTTCTCTCTTGCACACCACAAATATTTTATGGGAGAAAAAAGTTAATATATAATACTGACAATCACCTACTATTTTGTCGGTAAAATTCTTGTAGACATGAAATCACCTAACAGGCATTTGAAAATCATTGAATTCCTTCATTTTGGTCGCTATAAAGGAAGATATCTCCGGTTCACGCAAATCGGCTGCTGAAAGTGTCTGGAATGACACAGCATTACAAGACAGGCCATCTATTTTTTCATGGTTTCAGATAATATCAAGAATCGTAAAGTGATTAACTCTATTAGTGTTATTAAAGATGAATCTAACACCATACAAATCACATTGTACTTAAGAGTCTGAATATGTTGTAGACCAAAATTCAAGTAAATAAATGTGCCCCTCCTATAAAAGCTCGAGCTTCTCCATAAACTAGTTCATCGTGATAGAAGGCATGCTGAGATCCTATATTCTAGTACTGTCACCTTTGATTTCTGGCCTACACATAACAAAGGGTGTATTGTAGACTAAATTAGATAAACTAAAAGCTTAGCAACCAAATCAAAACGGAAATTCTGCTCTT